TTAATTTTTTAATTTTTTTTAATTTTGTTAAGTAGGGAAAGATGAAGCTGAGAGCCTTCAAACAAGCACATTATGGAAGTACGGACGGTAAATGTACGGGCAGACATACATATATGCACAGAATACGGGACATACAATAATGGACGTCTCGTCCGTAGTTGCGTTGGTGGAATTGCGGTTGGTATTTGGTGTGTCTTCTCCATCAGCTGGACTAAGCCGGGATAAGAAAAATCAAAAAACCTTTGCCCTCTGACATCACATGCCCCTCCAATCCACCGATTTTTCTAGGTCAAGCGTAGCCCCGACACGGTATTTATTGTCACTTTTCCGCCCTTCTATCGCTCTCCGGCTACAGCGTTTCAAACAAGCCACACTACTTGTTCATGGCGCCTATTGACCAGCAGATCATGGCGACCTGATCATTTTGATGGGGGACCGCTTCTTGGTTATTTGCAGCTAACCTACATATATATTCGGGGATACGAGCAGGTCGCTCACAGCCCTCCACATGTGACCTTCGTAGTAGCCTAACCTTAACCCTACGTTTTTGCGTGTGCGTTGATATGCGAATTTTTCTATATACTTTCGTTTAACGATACAAACGATTTCTATATATTTATCTTAGATGGCATCCGGTCATCCCTTCTTTCATAGCTTCACAAATAATAATAGTAGCGCAAAGCGTATGAACGACAGGTATTATTGCAAAATTTTTATTTATGACGGCAATTTGTCATTGCAAGTTCTGCCTCCTTTAGCTACCCAAATAGTTCCCATAAACAAATGGGCAAATCTAATCCATTCAACGTAGAAATTTTCCTTATTTGTTTTTTGATAGATTTTAACGAATGGAATTGCATAGCTGTGATAAGCTTTAGCAAGTTGAGTCCCAAGGTGAGTCCCTTATTATGTCTGTACGACATAAGACTAGGCCTTTGCTGTCAGTCCCATATCGTTCGGTGCATTAGTTTATAAACTAGGACGTCTTTTGAATTTATTGGGAATTGCTGGCCGTGAGAATAAAATAATTGGTTTAAGTGACATGGAAAATGTCTTCAAGTTAAAAATTTCTACAATAATAAACAATTGAAATAGATTTGTAGGAAAAGGTTTGTAATTTTTACTTTTAACGAAACCATTAAATTGGCAAACGGGATTTCAACAGGTAGATGAACGAACATCGCTTTATCGATTTTCCTTTCCTTATCTGCTAAGTGTAGCTCCGTAGACCAAGGGGCCAAGTATAGTACAAACTTTTCATTAAACTTAATATACCCCACACGGCAGATAGGAGAAATAAAGGAAGCAGAAATTTACTTAAAATATTGTAAGTCCTCCACTTCTTTTTTTTTTTCCATTTCATTTAAAAGTTTTTCTAAGCATTCCCCTCTTCTACATTTATAATCTATATAAAAACATAGTTACACAGTGCTATCATATACCATTTAGACAAGAGGAACGACCACCACATACATCATATAATGTACGTATAGAAGGTATTTAGTTTTCAATGTTTTTTCTTTCATTTCTTCTCTTCGTCAGCTTTTAAAGTTTTTCTTTGCATTGCAACTAAATGCGTGCTTGTCGCCAACTTTAAGAAAAAAGAAAAAGAACGAACATTTTTTTTTCTATGTATTGCTATTTACCGTCGCTGTTGTCCATGTTAAGTATTAGCTATGCTGCCTACAATCGGACATATATCCTGAATTATTGCTCAACATGTACACCAACGTATGTACATGCATGGATACTTACATACTTGCGAAAATCTTCCGACATGACTGTAAAGCATGTCTTCAACATTTATGCCATTGCTGGCGTTGCTGTAACTAAGCTTTTTTTTTTTTTTTTTTGCTTTTTTTCTTTGCTTTCATTTTTTACTCGCAACTTGGCCTACGACATATGATTGCATTTATTTGGTCAAGACTTTGTAAGACGCCAACTAAAGGACAGTAATACTTGATCAGACGGAAAGAAATGTTTCCTTTTCTTTTTTCTTCTTTTTTTTTTTTTTGGTTTGAAAGTTTTTTTTTCCTTTCGGCCCGTACATGTGTTGTGGGTTTTTTTTTTTTTGGAATGCATTTCATTGATTATGAAAGTTTTGTTTAAAAGTCGTAAGGCATAAATTGTGAAGGAAACTTTTCCTAATTTAAAATAAAATTGTATAGGCGACATGTATAACCGCGTATTGCTTATTTACCCAAAACTGAAGCGAAATATCCTCCGAATTTAAATTCACGTCCGTTCCCTCATATTATGGGCCAATTATTGACATCTCACCAATAATTTTTCTTTCTGGGACTCATTAACACATTCCGTGTAACGTGCACCATTTTCAGTACATACTCAAAAGATTTGTACATCAACCTCATTTTTTTCAAGTTAAGATATTAAAATATACGGATTAACTTTTGTGTTCACTATTTCATACTGTACTGTACTGTTGGAGAAAAGCGCCGATGGATTACTCGTGAGGATCATTTATATATATATTTATTTTTTTTCTCCCATAAACACAAAAAAAGTGCTCTTTTAATATCACTAAATTTTTTTACGTGTACCGAAAATGACGCACATATCTTGAAAATAGCTTCTTATCATTACCGTCTTGGTAGGGAACGCGCTTAGCAAAATTGAATACTATAAAAATTGCATAAATGGATTAGTCTGAATGATGAGTTTGACACTTGACGGTATTCTTATTTACGGTAGTTAGTTTCTTTGCGTTAAAGCTTTAAAGCCATTTATAAAAGCGAAACTAAACGCTACTTACTAAATAATTTTGCCATTGAGAATAGACAAAGTCGTGCCTAATAGCAAAAGTTTGCGGCGTGCATTAGTGTTTTTATTTAATCAGGAGCAACGAAAAATGCTTATTTTGCAAGCCGTATTGATTGAAAAGCGAATGGAAAAGTAAAATTAACGGTAGAATACTTGAGCGTAATCCGGCCGAGCATCAGTGCAAGTGATAACGAGTGCTACCTAAATTCAATAACAGACGGTGGACGGAATATTGGGCTCGATTTAAATCATGCTTCAAAAATACATAAGCTCGCCATAGGGACCAATAAAGGGACTTGTTTTGAAACTACTAACGATAAAAGCTCATGAATAACTTCAAGCCAAACTAACAAACGATAACTGATGATATTAAGTCAAGTAGTAAAGGAAAAAATAAAATATAATATGCGCCAAAAACCGGTACAAATACGATTCTCGACGGCGATGTATTGAAAAATCCATTCAAGGAACACTAGAAGCATGAATTTTGATGGGCTACCAAGCCCACGATATGCACCAGATATTTTTTTTGGTCTGAGCTTCAACTTCTACTTATTATCTGCCTGAAGAGCGTTGCCATTCTCATGACAACCTCTAATAAAGAGAGCAGATCAAAGACCAGATGACTTTCAGTGCGTAATTTTCATTTGATTAGCTAGCGATGAGTAAAAAAAATAAAATGTTTATCTCATTCCCTCGAAACAATTGCTTTTTGTTTATATCCACAGGATGAAGTATATTCATTTTGTTAAAACGTTTACAGCGCCCAGAACTAATCTTCAGAGATCTTACGAAGTATACATATTCTTGGTCAGGATCACATTGTAAATTGATTTGAGCATGTCGGCCTGTCCGTCTATCCGTCTATGTAATGTATGTAGTAAGCCCTCTCTTAAGCGCAAAAATGTAGCCATCGACTTCGTATTTATTAGAAACACGAGAAATTGTTGGATGTAGATTGGTATTGAAAAGGTACCGAAAGGCGGCGAAAGGCCGCGCCTACAATACAACGTAAACCGAGAACATGTCTGTTTTCCAAAGGGGAAAATTGGTTTTTTGCTCATCACTCGTAAACTGCAATAAAAAAGTCTATAAAAAATTTCGACGTACATTCTATAGGCGGTGCTGTAGTACCGCTACAAAAATGAGGAAAATCAGACATGCCTACTCAATTTTATAGCCATGTCATAAATTTCATATTTTTTTTTTCAAAATCTCCACAACCTACACAAGCAAACTTCAAAACGCCCATAAGGTTAATCAATTCTTAGCCAGTTTCAAATTCGAAATGCCCCTTCGCTCGTTCATTTGTCCATCTGTCCGCCTCTCTAACTGCGCAATGTCGTTACTACAAGCTGTTTTGAGCGGACGAGCCAGTGAATGTGCAAAAGCAGTGAAATACGGAAATATCGCAATTAATGAATTTGCGCAATTTGCATAACACATGCGGATGTGAAGCTTTTTTCTTCAAGCTTTCGCAAAAATACGATGTTGTTTCTTTAAGCATGACTGACGCCTTCAGCTACATAAACATTGCTACTATTACTATTGCTGTCATTACTAACACTACTGTTACAACTTATACAACTACAATTGCTGCTGTTGCTACTACTACATTTGTATACTTAGTTTTTTGCCTGCCAGTTCCCAGCAATATCGATCACGTCCGAACCGTAATTTCGACCAACCTATGAATATTTTGGAATATTTTGCTTCTATAATCTACACGCGTTTCGCTGCGTGTAATGTTAAATAGCGTTAAATCAGTCAAGTTAAGTATATGAAAGCGCTAAGAAGACGAAGTAATTATCAAAAATTATTACATAGCTGCATACACACTACTGCAGTCAATAAAGGTAAACTAAGATGATTATCGTTGCTAAGCGCAACGCAGCCGAATTGCCATAACTATATTAAACAAACATTAAAGGCGACCTAAAATTGACTTTTTCTTCCTTTGCCTGGCTGCCAAATAAGGAAAAAACAATTTCAATTTTTGCTCTAAACATTTGCAACTAATAGGATTTCGACGATAGTTTAGATAGGAGAAGTTAGTCTCTTTACTTAACATTTGTTCTCTTTCTTTTTGTTTTGTGTTTTTTTTTTTTTTTTTTTTTTTTTTTTTTGTAGTTTGTACGGTGGGCATCACCTTCATAATCAATTTTTGTTTGAACTTTTGGGGTTTTGTCGAGATTTCAATTGGTTTGTATTGTACTTTTTCAACCATGAAATGAATTTTTGGGTTTTATTTCTAATAAACTTTTGCTCAGTTCACTATTTTTGTATTCTTTGCCAACCGCTGTACCCTTTTTCTGTTTTTATAACACAATATAACGCAACGAAACATAAAAACAGCAGCAACAGGGGATTTTATACTTAATTCATATTCATTGTTTACTATGGAGTGACCCTCAAAAACATTGGAGTTTGTCTCTGGGTTTAGGTTTTGTATACTTCTACCAACATTTGTGGGATTTTTTTAATTTTTTTTTTTTTTTTTTTTTTTTGTTTATCCTTTTTTCGTTTATAATTAATTTGTCGTTTTCATATTTGTGTGACCAGGAAGTATTTTTTCCAAAGAGTTTTAAGGGTTTTTTACACATTCTCATATTCCTATCTTTTTGTTCATTTAACACAATTATGAATATTCCACAAAATTCACCGCAAATCCTGCATAAAATTCATTTCATATGCGAAAATTTTATTTTCTCTCTTCTTTTTATTCCTCCGCATCGTCACCCGGCAACACCCGGCAAGCATGTTAATTTTCTCGTAGCGTTTGTTATTTTTATCTTCTCACTCTATCCATATGAAAATCTTCGTAATAACCAAACAACGAAAGGCTTTAGACATTTTTCTCTTTGTTGTCAAACTTACGCTCAATTGCCTTAAAACTCAGAGTAAGCTCTAAGAATGACTTATCGATAAGCCATAAAAGGAAATTTTTAATCACCATATAATTCAATATATATATTACTTATCCGCCATGTTATTTATTAATATTTACCTTCAAATATTGTAAATATAGCAAATTATGCATCAGACGCCAAAAATCTAAATGAGTCGAACTCATGCATATGCTTCAGATATGCCTTGGGAGACACAGAGCTAAGTTCTTGCGACAAGAAGTCATGTGTATGAAGATCGACATAATTTCTGCTGATTGGATCGTATTGCAACTATTTTACACGCGATTAGATATTGTTGATAAAAATATTTTGATAGTTTTACTATTTAGAGGATTTCTTCAATTCATTCGGCATTGTAAGCACGTACGAAAGAGAGATTCGCATTCATAGTTAAAGGAACGAGTTTTTTTTCCAAAATATGCTTGAGATGCCACTTTCAAATTACACATATTGCAGATCAATGTATGATTAGGCATATTCGTCGATCAATTGCCTTCCGTCCCTGATACTTTGTTGCAGGCCTATAGATAGAACGATGAAATTCGACATGCATTTTTCTTGGTCATCATAGATCGTATTTCAAAATGATCGCGATTCGCCCACAACGGTATTCATAGAAGAAAATGCTAGCTGTAGCTTAAAATCTAAAAATATTTATCTTGACCTTGCTACCAATGTATCTGAGAGATATTTGAAATTTCAATTGTAAACACAGTCTTGATCGAACGATTGACAAAGAACTTTGTCAGCATCAAGTTGCACCGCAAAGTGATTGCTGTACTGTACAAGGGAAGCGGCCGGGAAAATGCATTTATTTCAAGATATGATTTAACTCCAGATCTACATATATAGTTTGTAGAGCCCCTTATGCGCGTTTATTTGTACGCTACCAAAGTATGCCATAAGGCTTTGCAAAATAAACTGGGAGCCACGGGGGTCAGGAAGCTCGCTCACTAAGCCACGTATGCCTGCGGGTATATGATGGACTTGTTCTTAAGTCGTAACAAATAAATAAATTAATTACACTATTTATGCTAAAGGAATTGACGGACGGCTTTCCCTCTGGCCGAATAAAAGAAAATGTCTGGTAAATGAATTAATACATGCAAAAAGGAATTGATGGACGGCTTTCCCTTTGGCCGAATGAAAGAAAATGTCTGGTAAATTAATTAATACATGCAAGAATGGAAAAGGGGTATGACGAATAAGTTCTCCCCTTTTACCTATTTTTACTTTTGAACACATGTCATGAATGCCTGCGGGTAAAGGTGGTAATTGATCAACAAGCACAGTGGAAGCCTTATGGCGGAAGCAGTCAGTTGATCAATTGGTGAGTCCTGACTACTGGGTGCGGCCCTTCGGGGAGTACTCGTGGTGGTTGTGGTTGGCGAGTTCCTAGCTAAAATGGAACAATGAGTGCAGCTAGGCCTCGCCACTCACCAGAGTGGGGTTTATTGTTCCATACACAATAAACTGATCTGGACTCTGGTGCTGTTTAGGCCCCTACTCTGTGGGGATTGTCTAACTCGCCAGGGGGCGTAGTACGCTTAAAAAGTGGTTTGGGCCACCGTGGGGTTAAGCCTTACAGGCAGGAACCCACGTTAAACCCTTGCCACAAATTCTGTACGCTATCGAAATTATTAAAACTTAGCTATTGGTCGTGACATAGGTTGGATTCGTTTTTAGTAAAAAATCGGCGAGTATCCAAAATTCGGTTATTTAACTTCAAAAGAGCATTCTAACTTGTTGTTTTCTCTCTTTTGATTTCGCCATCTCCTCTACCTTTTGCACCAGCAACTTTTTCGCGTGGCTTCTAAGCCGATTTTATTAAAAACCGCATAAAAGCCAACAACAAAATATGTGTATCATGGTTTATTTAAAATTTTTTTTTTTTTTTGTTTTTATATATATTTTACAAGATACTGTTTTCTGTTTTTTTTTTTTTTTTTTTTTTTTTTTTTGGGAAACCATATAACTAGTCATTAATAAAGTTTTTGGCAAATTTCATTTTTTTTTCATTTTTTTTGTTTTTTTTTTTGTTTCATTTCTGAATTGTGAATAGAAAACTGTTGTCAATCAGAGCCAAGTTCATTGTACACTTGGCGAAGATTATATATATATAAACGTAAGCATAACTAAATTATTTTCTCTATGAAAGTTTCTTTAAAATTTTTTTACTTTTGTTTTTCCGTACAGTTGCTCAGGTGTCGGTATATCGGTTACGAAAAAATTTGCTGGAATATAATGGAAAATCTTTTTCAAAACATCCAGCAAAATATCTTCAATAGTTTGTGTGATCACCGTATACAAAGCATCAGTTAGCATACGCCAATTATCGTTAAAAAACTTGTTTGTGCTATCCTCTGCAAGGATCAACAAATAAATAACGCTTTATATATAAAAATCATATTAAATGAAAATTGCAAAAACGCACCCAATTGTTTTTGGCCATTAAATAGATTAGAAAAATATGATTTCAATCCCTCCAAAGTGAAATTCACACGAGTGTTAGTTACGTTATAGAATGTAAAACCACCCTTTTCATATAAATGCGTTTTTGTGTGCATGACGACCGTCATATTCTCTGGAAAAAGGAAAAAAACAAAATAAGGATAATTAGGACAGGAAAAATAAAGCTGTCAAGTCTCGTGTTTTTTTAATATCAATAGTTACCAGCATCCAAAAATACCTGGCCTCTACCATTTAATGGTATTAACAATATCCGCCCGAGGAGACTGTAGTCACCTTGCAATTTCATCACAGGCAGCATGAAAGTAGTCTTCCAACTATAATCCTTAGGGAAAACTCTAAATTGTTCACAAAGTAAGAATAACATCGATAAACCTATCGCTCTTAAGTCATATGTTATTTACTTACACACTTTCCAAAACGTTTGTATGACCGAAACCATTAATTTTAACATTAGCCAATTCCACTTTTAAATTAATGGCCTGACTATTACCTTGGGTTATTTTAATACGATTCAAATGAAATGGATCGAAGCTTTTAATGCTATCCAAACCGGGAATGCCTAAAAACATGTATATTCAATATAAATGCATTAAAAGTATAAATAGATATCTGAAATTTATCATTCCAGGATTACGCTTACACGCCAAGTTAATTACTTGTGTTTGCCTCTCAATATTTCGCATGTTCTTCAAACTATAAGCTAAACCCCAAATTCAAATCAGTATTTACTACAAACAATATATCTTTGCAGGCGGGCTATGCCCGAACTATCATCATTGAAGGGAATAGAAAAGAATACTAAGTATGATAGGTATATAAATATGTCAACACATTTGTAGCATTGAGAAAAATATGTTAGAAATTTCAAAAGAGTCATTTTACACAGTCCCCTATTCACTCCAATCTCTGCGAACCTTATCCTGCTTTATTGGCGACATACAATTGGAGGTTGCACTCGTGAAATCTCGGTTGTAATCGCCCAAATAATGAAATTATTTGAAATCAGCAATGAGTGATTCGTTTAGAATTAGATCTATGAGCAAGTTGGCGATTAAAATCCCGACTACGAAGCCTTGCAATCTCCTTTCACTGCATACTCTCTGTATAGTAAATATTTTTTATGCTTTTCTCATTTTTTTTTTTTAATTTCGCGGGTGGGGTGGGGGGGAGGGGGGCATTAAAAATATCTTTTCCTCCACGTATCGTACAAAATTGAAGATTATTTACGTCACGTATGTGGATGAGCAGTTCTTTAAAGCATTTAGCTCGTTTCGAGTCTATATTCATTATGCATATGCGACTGACAATTATCGGGATTTCGTTACGCAACCATATGTGCACCTATTAGACGTAATTTACATATATGTAAATATGCATGTCCACATCCCTACAAATTGTAGAGGAATGGACGGTACGGTCTTTTAAAAGAATGTTAGGCTAATTTTTATAATAACCGTAAAGGCTTTTATGAGAGAGATTTCCGATTTTGTTAATGTTCTCTAATGTCATTCATAAACTAAATATTCTGACCGGAAACAATTATAAGCATAATTGCATTTATTTTACTAATTTGCTCTTCGCTGTTTCTTCTTCATTTGCGCCTACTTACCAGTATTAAGTTTGTCAAATAATTGCTGTATACTGTCGGTGGAACATTTGACAAAATTTTTATCCGCTATTTTACATGGTTTGATGTAATCTGCTGTTGATGAATTTAGATAATGAAAACTTTAGTTAAATTATATATGAAACTTTTATAGTCCGCTATTGATTACCAATTTATCTATTTAGTGAAAACTTACGCGGATCTGTTAGGAATCTATCATCTGAATGCGCTAAACTTCCAAAGAATATCAAAGGCAACGCCACACCACGTAACAATATTTCCATGCCCATTAACCGATTTGTAAATTACTTCCGTAAACACTTTGCGCAGTAGTTTTTGCACGCGTTCTATATTCCTGTGAACTCTACTGAGAAACGGTCTCCAAGCAACTGAACCTTACCGTCGTTTATACGCTAAGACATTAAATCGTTTAAGAATTTCAAACTCTCTGATTAAAGCTTTTTGAATTTGTTTTTTATTTTTTTTTCTTTGATTGTTGTGTTGTTTTATCTTTCGATTTGCAATCGTGCAAATTAAATGCACACACGATTGACCAAAAAGAAAAAAAAAAACCCACACAAAAAACGCATAATGTGTCGCAATATTATTAATCATATGCCATATAATTCCTATGTGCAGCACAGCGAAGATCATAGACCGCACTAACTGATTACATGGTAAGTGTATCTAACTAACTTACTTGTTAACTGCTCGATCACCACACAGTAGCTTATAATGAGAATGCGCTTCTACAAATGTTTCGATAGTAAAGCCAAAGCAAGTCATAAGTTTTAGTCTACTGAGTTAGTGGACCAAAGCACCACCATCAGGCAAACCATCAAATTGCATTTCTCATTGCATGTGCAAGAAAAACTTGAAACTTATCACATAAAGCAGCCACAGTGGCTGATATTTCAACATCAGAGCGACAGGCAGCAAGTTCGCTTAGCGAATGAACAGCTCATGTTGGTATTTATTTACCACATATTTTGTTTTAAACACTTTTACACGTTTATCTTGTTAACGTTGTTGCTGTTTGGTTTCTTGATTAATGCAAAAAAAAAAAAAAAAGCTTCAACCAACATTTTTTATACCAAAATATTTCATGATCTTTTTTTCATCTTTGTATTTGTTTTTAAAGATTTTGTAATAACAGCAAAAGATTTTTGAATTTTATTACATCCGTTATTTTTCAAAATTTTACACTGCCAAAAATCTAAATGTTATCTAGTTCATGCGACTTCTTAAAATCGATAGTTTTCGCTTAATACGTTTCCATACCACGTGTACTGTTTTCGGTACATGCTATCCAATTTGATCATTTCAGATACCTTTTTTTGCGTTTGTGGAGGAAATATATATTTATATATTTTGACAGGTAACGTGCAGCAATACTGGTACACGCGCCCAACACTGTCGTTAACAATATTGCAACACATAAAATAACAATAATTAAATGCTAGATGGTAACCTATTCATTTAAAAAATTAGCGTGCACTGGTGGCGGTACACGTCGCGCTAAACCCTTTAATTATTCGATGCATTTGCAGTTCTTTAAAATTTAGGTTGGGACTAGTGACTCGGCTTAAGAGTAAACGTGCAATAATGGTAGTCCATATTCGGGCTTTTTGAACTAATTTCAGGAAAACTGCTAAAACTAACCTAATTTCTTGTAGCAAGTGGATATGCTGGACGACAACCTATTGTGCTCGGATGTGCTGTTGTTCCCTTAAATGGGGTGCAGGAAAAACACACGAACTGAGCCCAGTTGTTAACAAGTTCTTTTGACATAAATACCTTATTCTCGCACTTTCGAAAATTCGAGAACACGTAAAGCTGCCTAAAAGGAAAATTTTCACGTAAAGAACTCTTATTCGTAGTCTGCTACTAATTGAACCCCACAATGAAAATAGTTTAAAATTCAACTGCAAGCAGTCGATGCGTCAAAACATCTGCCCCACAGCTGACGTCTCAGGAAAGCGGATAGTGAAGCGGTGCCAAGATTAAATGCATCTTTCTCGCTTGAAAACCTCGATCAACTCCTCGCTTCAATCTGGCGACTCGCACGAAATACTTGCCGAATGAATCATTCCTTTAAGCGTAATAAGTTGTTCCTTGTCGTTCCCATCAAATACATGTCCTTCGAATATAATGGTTTATGATGTTAACATTATTATAAGCAATGAACTTCACTAGCAATCATCCCGTCCAAACCAACATTGTTTCGTGAATTTCTGTTAGTTCTTTTAGTGTCAAGTTAGTATTTCTTCTCAAGATTATGTACATGCCATAGAAAATTTGATTGATAAGAGTTGAGATTATGTCCGATGTAATAATAGAGGCAATCTATAATATATAAATTGAATGAATGCAGTTGACCGCTTGGTGGCTACCCGTCTATTGCCGAAGGACTGATTTGTTCATAGCTGTTATTTCTATGCATAGATGCATAGCAAACACCACATAAATTTCAAATGTAAAATGAGGTCTTGTTGCAGCTAATTTGAAACTGTTGTGAGATTGTAGGCGGCCGTGATCGGACTCGAACATTTAAAACCTTGTTTTGATTAATAATGCTACTGGCTAACTGAGCTAGGCAGGCAGGATCGTGAAAATCGTAGTGTACCCAATGAATTACGTTAAACACTTTTATTGATGTCTTTCTATTCCCTATATATTAAATATAACAGCAATTATTAAATCTCAGTGAACAATTTCTAAAATATCGACACTAGGTTCACTTTTCATTGATCCGCAGGCACATAGGACAGCTAATGTCGACACATAATATTTCCATTACAAAGGAGCGTATTAAACTTGCACCGGATGCGAGTGAGTTTTATTCCATTCGATTAATCGGTGAATCGGTTTATCGGATCAATGAATCGGCTCAATGTCATATTGAAATTCATTTTTTTCCATTGTATTAACTTTCCTAACCTATAATAATATTCTCTGGTTCAGTGATTTCAAAATGAACCGGTTCAAATTTTCAAATCGTTTCTGGTAAAGAAAAACTTGAATGGATCAAATTAATTTTTTTACTTTTTACGTATATGTATAAGAGCAGTTATTATGTAATTTATTTAAACCAATTAATTTTTAGGCTGAGTGTCATGCGTGTTTATTGTATTCATATTGTTGCTGGCTGTTTTGTTTTTAATTTAATTTTTATGTTTTTTGTTGTTATTGTTTTTTTCTTTTTCATCATTTTACGCACACACGTACACACATATATAAAGTATAATCTAAATAAATTTGTTTTGCTAACGCAGCCAATTTGAAATCAAAAAACCACAAAACATTTTTGAAACGACAACCATTGGCAGACCGTAACCAAAATGTGTTTGTGTACGAATATGTGCAAATGTGTTTATAAAAAAAAAAAAAAAAATATATATATATATACATATATATATATATATATATATATATCCATGTATACAAAAAACAAACCTCTTCAATTATAGAGAATTGTTGGTCAGAGAGTAAGAGTAAAAATGGCTTTATATAATAAAATAAATTAATTGCTGTAAAAATTACAATTACCAAAAAAAAAAAAAAAAAAAAAAAATAATACCAAAACAAAAAACAAAATTACAACATAGCAGTAGTAAACAACACAGACACGTACCCGTGCTCACGCACATTTAAAGAGAGTCACATAAAAATTAACAACACAAAATACAAAACCACCAATGGATGGATGGTAGAAATAAATGACTGTGAGTAACGGGGAGGGGGAAAGGGATAAGGAAGCATGGAACTGATGCATATATCCAAGCACTAGAATCGATTGTACCATTACTCTCATTCTTCGTTTAAGGCAAAGCAGGGCAACAGGAAAGGGCAATTAATTTAACACACACGGTTTCCATAGTATTTGTGGTTAAGGCCATTTACTTGTTATGGTAGAGAAATGCCAATATCATGCACATGCACACACAAAAACATATATATGCATACATACATACATACATACATACATACACACACACACACATACATACACACAAATACCGTTAGCTTGCAATCAGATGCAAGCATAAGCATATAGACCGTAATGCAACTGTATATATATATATATATATATGTGTGTGTGTGTGTGTGTGTGTGTGTGCACTACACTGCATTACAATCCAGAGGAAAACCCCTAATTGATCGTTGGTATTTCGTAAAGAGGATTTTTGTGAGTTTAACAAACACACACACGCGCGCACGCTGCATTTTCAAACATACACACATGTGTCATGGAATCCGTTAAAAAATATAGAGACGAAAACACACAACAATCATTTAAAATGCCATGTAACCCAAGAACAAAAATTCAAAACAGGAAAAAAAAAACTGAATATATACAAAATAGGTAATTTTGTTGTTGTTATTGTATATATTTATGGTTTTAAATTGTTTATGTAAAACGTATAAACACAACCGAGAGCACTGAACACTGAACACCACATCAACACCACAGCAGTCCAAATTCTGTCACTGTAACAAATCTTAAAAACTTCATTAAAAACTTTCATGAGAAAACAATAAAAAAAAAAAAAAACAACAACAACAACAACAAAATGAATATAAAAATCTATTTAATTTAATCTAAGCTAATTATCAGCATTTAGTTAGCGCATTCTATATAAAGCAGATTGAACTTGTTTTTCAAAATGTACAAAATTCAAATATTTACAAGATTGTTTCTAGACAACTTTCTGACTCTGTTATATCAATTTCTTCAGTTTGCCTGTTGTGAAAATAATAGTGAATATAAAAAAAGAAGACATCATTTGTTCAAATTTTTGTACATTTATGAGTAATGAGCAAAAGATCAATTTTATATGCGTTTTGAAAAACGCAGGTGTCTTCACTTTACGTAGTGCTACGTAGGTTTGTCCTTTGAACGATTTGGTCCATTTTCAATACCAAGCTGTGACAAACTTGAACTTCTAATGTTTCTGCCAAATTTGTAGTCGATAGCTTCATTTTTGCGGCCAGGATAATATTTAAAACAGACAGACAGACGACCAGACGAACAAACGAGCAGATGGAATTTAATGCTGATCAAGAATATATACACTCTATGGGGTCTCTGACAATGTCCCATAGTATATTCCTTACCCTTCGGTGATGTATTCAATATTATTATTATATTTACTTTTGCCACGAAAACATCGTCGATCAGCCACGCCCACACAATTTTTTAGAGTAAGCAAATATATATTTTTCCATCTTCTCTATCTTTTATACGATAATGGGTATATGTGCTTTAGCCGCAAACGAACATAATTTT